TTAGAACCTTGGGATTTAAATTAGCATGATTTAATTAAAGTTCTACTTTGTTGTTCTAACAACCTAATTGAGTTTTAAAATGAATATAGGTGATGACCTTGCCATACCCTTTAACATGTATTAAATTGAAGTTAATTGAAATTGAATTTTATCTATTTAAATTCTATCAATTTGCTCCATGATCTAGTTGTGTTTTAGAAGTGGTTTCTATATTCAAATCATGGACTTAGACTTGTTGTATATTCATTTGGTTATGTTTTGAACATTGGATAACATAGTTGCTATGTTTGTATTCGTGATAATATATTTTCCTTATTGAATATATTGTTGCCTTGTGTAATGATTTGCATACTTCGTGTTTAACATCTTTCATGCATAGCGTGTAACGAATCGCACACTGAATATTCGACATTCATCATATCATATTAGTTGTGGATTTAGAGCATGTATTGTATAGGTTTCTAAATTTGGTTGTGCTTAGTAGATAGTTGATTATCTTACATATTCCAATTGATATATGCGTTGTTGCACAACTTGTTGATTTTGGAAACTTGGGGATGTTGTTATTTGACTATGGCTAGAACGTGGTTCTAGTACGGGGGATAGTCCCTCTATATAGTCTAGTGCATACATAGGGAGGTTACCCATGGGCTAGTAACCCTAAAGTAACTATGTTGTCGGTCTGATCCAGCGTGACGTCCGAGTATCCACTTTGTTTAACTTCGCATTTCATTTTCAAGTTGATAACTAGATGATGTTGTAACTTGTTGTTCCTTATTTATCGTTCCATTTTAAGTTACATGATGTTAACTTTGCGAAATTGTGCTTTATGCGTTGTATTGGAAGTCCCAATGTTGGGTAAATTACATCGATATTGAAAATTGTGTTTTGACGTTCTAACATAGCTTAGGATTGATCCTATTGATTCATTTAGAACTTAGACGTTAGGTGGCATGAACCATCACTGTTATTTTGTGCTTTAGATTCTAAGTTGATGGCTTTGAGAACTTATACTTTATTGCATTGTATAACATGCTCTTTTGTTGTTGAATTGCATAGGTAATGTGATTCTTGTTAACTTGTATTCAAATATACTTTTGTCATGTTATATGGATTACTCTAGACCTAGTTCAATTGTATTGAAAATGCAATTCATGTTAATCTATGCTCAAGCATTCTTCTTGTCGTGTTCTTAGATTATCTCAACCATGATTCGTTTCATACACGTATGTATATCATGATTCTTGTTGCTTAAACTCTAAGGTAGCTTAGGATGCTCCCCGAGTCTCATTTGGACATAGACGTTAGGTGGCATGAACCCCTTTAACATGTTTCACCTTAAGGTGATAAATTTGTAAAATGCTAGGTCGATGCATGCTCATCTCCTACGAGTAGCTTTATGTTACTCACCCCTATGATATTGGGGCATATTTCAGGTACGAAGACTTGGTTCTTGACGCCTAGCATTCCTTGGATGTCGTGTAGCTTTCAAGTTTCCATTTCATGCAAATGTTAGCATGAAATGTCATTTTGTAGACTTATATGTCAAAATATGTATATTTGATTCCATGTATGTAATGTGTACTTAAGTACACTCCTTTCAATGTATTTGATATGTATGAGATGAGGCCGTAGGCCAATGACCATTATATTGTATTCTATATACTTTTTAACTTCATGAAATATTGTGAAAATCTTGAAAAATCGCAAGTCATTGCTTCACCATGGTTGCATCGGGTGTGGGAATTCCATTCTCATTCTTTCATAGGGTCTCATAAATCATGTTTGAAGTGTGGCCAAAGGCCAAATGGTCATTTGATCCCGTTTTATATTTTTGGATTCCGAGTTTTCATTCCAAGTTCCATTTTTGCCTTTTTGCCCGTTGGGGGGTCGGATTTTATATCGGTAGTATTTTTAAGTCGTGGACCATTGTAGCACGTCCAAATAGATAAGTTACGTTTGCGTGCATGGTCGTTTCTGAGCAAAACCTTATCGTTTGTGTTTTGAGCCTCTTGTGAATTCATTTCGCATTTTTTTTGCATATTCTGATCTAGGGGCATTATAGACCTTTCACGGTGATTTTATTTCCTTCTTTCAACATGGTTGAATAGAAAACGTGATTTTTTGGGGGGTTTCTTTTTCGTGTTTTTCCAGAAAATGTCGTCTTGGTGCCGGAAATCGATCGCAAAGTTCAGCTTTCAGTTTTCTATTTAGCAGCTTTTTTGACCCTCTGGACCAGATTTCTGGGGAGGGCATTTTGGGCATTTTACATTGCATTTTTTTTTTTAATTCTCCGCAAGTCACGTAGAAAACTCAATTTTGAGGGGGGTTTCTTCTCTGTGTTTTTGCAAAAAAAAAATCATCTAGGCCTCCAAATTCAGCCTCTGTTTCGGATTTTTCTGAAAAACAAACCCACAACAGCTTTATGGGCTACTGCTGCCAGCCATGCGTGCACCGACGCGCGCACGGCATGCATGGGCGCGGGCATGGGCGTGCGCATGGGGCTGTCGTGGCCCCTCGTCGGGCCGCCGCGACGTTAACTCTTCTTTTGGGCTTTTCTCCTTCGTCCGGACTCCGATTCAAGTGAATTTTTTTTTGAACTTAACTAATTTTTCGCTATCTTTCCAACGGTGTGCTCGGTTGCACCCGGTTCTTCCTGGATAATTACCAGCTTACCATTGTTGCCTTAAGTGCTCGTTTTTCTTCGTCATGCCGTTTCTCCTTCGTCTGGACTCCGAATCATGCGATTCTTGAATCCACCTTGATTAGTTTTTCGTTGTCCTTCCAGCGGTGTGCTCAGTGGCACCCGAATCTACAGTTTTCAGAAATGACTATTTTGCCCCTAGGAGCTTATTTGTCATGTTTTCGATCTTTTGCTTCCGCATCAGTTCTTGTTGAGTTCCACGACCTCATGGAAGGTCACTTTGACTTCTTAGAGTCTTATTTTCTGTTTTCGCTTCCGCATTCGGATCCGTTATCGGATCATCCTTACGGTTCATCACAGGACACGCTGGCCTAAAAACCAGGGTCGTCACAGTTACGACTAGGACTTGGTTCCAGTACGGGGGATTGTCCCTCTATATAGTCTAGTGCGCACATAGGGAGGTTACCCATGAGCTAGTAACCCTAAAGTAACTATGTTGTCAGTCTGATCCGGCGTGACGTCCGAGTATCCACTTTGTTTGATTTCGTATTTCATTTCAAGTTGATAACTAGATGATATCGTAAGTTATTGTTCCTTATTTGATTTCCTATTTTGAACTTAAGATGTAGCTTTGTGAAAGCATGTTTCATGCGTTGTATTGGAAGTTCCATTGTTGATTAAATTGCATCAATATCATAATTTGTGTTTTGATGTTCAAATGTAGTTTAGGAATGACCTTATAGATTCATTTTGAACATAGACGTTAGGTGGCATGACCCACACTTGTTGTTTTCATATTTTGGATTTCAAGTTGAAGACTTTGAGAATCTATATCTTGTTGCCTTGTATAACATGTTTCCATGTTGTTTGAATTGCATGAACAATGTGATTATGATAGAAATGATCTAGGTAGCTTAAGATACTCCCTGGATCTCATCTTGACATAGACGTTAGGTGGCATGAGCCTCTTTAACATGTTTCACCATAAGGTGATAAAATTGTAAAATGCTAGATCGATACATGCTCATCTCCTACGAGTAGCTTTATGTTACTCACCCCTACGATACTAGGGCATATTTCAGGTACAGGACTCAGGATTTGAAGATTCCATTGCTCCTTGGATGGCTTACAGTTTCTAAGTTTCTATTTTATGCAAGTGTTAGCATAAGATGCCTCTTTGTAGCCCTATTTGTTTAAACTTGTATTCGTTGATTCGTATATGTAAAGCGTACGTAAATACACTCTTTTCAACGTATTTAACATGTATGAGATGAGGCCGGAGGCCAATGACATGTATCTCGTTTTCTATGCACTTTTGTTTTCAAAGTTTATTATGAAAATATTGAAAAATGTTAAGTCATTGCTTCATAACTTTCGCATCGGATGTTAGAATTTCATATCTTTTCTGCCCGGACTCAGAATCAGACGATTCTTGAGTTTAATTTTGTTCATTTTTCATTGTCCTTCCAATGGTGTGCACGGTGGCACCCTTTTCAGTGAGAAATGACCATTTTGCCCTTAGTTCATCTCTTTTCGGGTTAGACATTCTTGCTTCATTTGCTTGGCTCATTTGAGTTCCGTTGCTTCATGGAGAGTCATTTTGGGGCCTCAGGAATGACGTACATCTCTTGAGGTCATTTGGCTTCTTTCGCTTCTGCATTTCGGGTCCGTTATCGAGTCAACTTCCGGTTCATCACCAACGCACCGGGTTGAGAAATCCGAGTCGTTACAATATATATATATATATATATATATATATATATATATTGTTCCTTTCTCTAACAGAATTGAAAATCCATTCTCCAAAAACACCACCAACATGTTATGTACCTCTGAGAAACTCCTCACAAAAATTAGAGAGATTCAGTTGGTGCGGCTAACAGGAGAATGTTATGTACCTCCGAGAAACTCTCTCACAAAAATTAGAGAGATCCAGTTGGTGCGGCTAACAGGAGAATCATCAGCACGAACAGCATCTCTAGTAAAGCAAGATTTTGAAGACAAAATCAATTTTAGTAGGTTATAAAAATAAAGGTATAAAAGCTAGTAAGTAAACCAACCACGCACGTCCTCCCTAGTCCCCTAACCGACTAGTGAGTACATCTAAAGTTCACAAAATGTCCTGGGATGAAATTAGTTAACATCAAAATTAACTATGGGATGAAATTATTAAAAATAATTTTAAAATATTAAATATTGTAGGAGAGAGAGTTTGTAATAAAAAAGAATAGAAGAAAAAAAAAAAAAAAAAAAAAAAAAAAAGATAATTCTTGTTACTAATGGAATTAACACAAAGATAAAGATGATGATGAATGCTCTTAGATAAAGCCAACTCTTGTCAAATACTGGAATAACATACGAAAACTGGAACCCACCAGATGCTTTTAATAAATGTGTAACTGGCTAACATCACAATTAATTGCAAATTTTAATATTTCTATATTAAGAATCTGGCATCGATCTGAATAATGGATGTCAATAACAGTGCAGATCAAAATCTTATGTTGACCCACTGAAAGCTCCATTTAACTAACATACTACAGATTGGATCTTTCCATCAGTTTAGGAGATTTCTCAGAACATCCTGAAGATGATGATAGTCAATCACTCTCACCCACCTGTGACCCTATCTCTTGCAAGTAATGTTCCGCATCCAAGGCAGCCATGCACCCTGCATCATCAAATTTCAAGGTCAAAACAGGAACCACGTGCATGTACTTGCATGAACAAATTGCATACTCCTCAAAGTGGAGGGTAATTGTATTTTTTTCTAATAATTGTTGAGTGTGAATGTGTTTTTAAAGAGCAATATGACATTTTCCATTTTCAAAAAAGAAAAAGAAAAATTAAGTATGCAAAGTGCAAGTGGAGAGAAGTGTAGTGTCAGTACCAACATCCTTCAAATTTCCCACCCAAAAACCTAGAGAGAAACAGAGCAAAAGAAATTGGAAAGTGTGAAATAGAGCTCCAGAGAAGGAAAAGAATAGCGAGAAACGTGGATTTCTCATCTAATCTAAAAGACCTTTTTTTCTCATGTTATGTCTGAACTTGCATTATATCAGTCTCCTCTACGTTTAAATCAATACAGATACAAATCTATTCACGTGATAGTTTGCATTACAATGGTCTGCTGTATCTGTGTAAGTCAATATGGATACAAATATATTCACATGAAACTTCAATATTTATAAATGAGCTGTAATAGATTAGATTAAATATATAGACATGTTGTATACAAAACCGCTACAAACTATGTTATTTATACAAGTTAAATGTGTAAAAATTGCATGTATAACCTGTCACATACACACACATACAAGTTCACCATGTAAGAAGATGATGTACCTACTCCTCATCCCTCCTGCACATGTAGCACCAGTTCACAATAATTTGTCTCCTCCTCCTTAGATTGTCAATTATCAATATTCGTCCCAGGACTATCATCCAAGCAAAGAGGCCAGTTTAAGAGGAGCCTTGGTGTGCCATATAATTTTCCATGAAAAGGAAGATCCCCGGGCAAACATCAACCTCCTATAGAAGGAATGCACCTCGAATCTCCCCTGAGAGTAAGCCGCTCAGATCCACTCCTCAATCCCTACTCGATCCACCTTTTAGCGGTACAGCAACGTCAGGAACTCAGCAACGTCCACCAAGTCCCAATCTTGGAAATGCCTCTCGAATAGCACATTCGAATTTGTCCTCCTGCTATCCAGCAGATAGCAGTCAGCAACCGAGACCTGCTTATCCGCAGCAATCCGAAAGAGTTGCAGATAGGCACACATTAGCAGCCAATTTCAGCACCATAAATCCACCCAAAAACAAATGTCCCTGCTATTCTGTACCCAAAACCAAATGTGCTTTGAAAATTCATCCAACGTCTTCCAGATGAATTTCCGAACACCAACCCTTGCCGGAGCCCTCACCTCTAGAGATTCCATCCATTCTTGTCCTCTCCAAACTTAAAGCTAGAAAATTCTCCTCGAAAGTTTGTGCCTCTCCACACCAAATCTCTACAACACTTGCTCGATAGGGGTCTTATTTAAATGGAACCAACTCCTATTCCCCAGACTCCCACGAGGCAATACTTGGATTCCTCTCCCATGCCCACCCCCACTAAAAATTCTTTGGAGCTTCTCAAACCTCTTCACCACCAATAAAGAAATTTGGAATAGGGTCAGGAAAAAAGTAGGCAGACTCGACGGAGTACTCTTCACTAATGCAAGTAGCCCTCCCTTCGAAAGGTATTCTTCCACCCTGCTAACCACCTCTCAAATATCTCAACAACTGGGTCCTAAACAGACAATCTCCTCAAAAGCGACCCCAAGGTAACCCCAAATATGGGATCAAGAACCCCTACACTACACCCCAGAAAGTCAGCCAATGAAGAAATCCCAGCAACCTCCCCACTGGCACAATCACCCTCTTCCCAATGTTGACTTTCAGACTGCATGCTGCCTGAAAGCAAACCAAAGCACTCCTCAGTTGTTGGTCCCAAGCTACCTATCTTGAGGTTTGCTCTTTAATGTCAACATGCAAGTGAAAAGGTTCAAGGTTGTGCATTCTGGAAGTGATATCACTCGGGCAGTTTAGTCTTTTTACATACCTGTATGAACAAATTACATATGTCTGGGGTCCTACATTGCAGCACAGCCTTCATATTCAGGGTTATATTGCAAATACACATTCTGCACTACAGCTTTATGTGCTAAGTGTTATGAGTACTTTGTGGGGGTATTATAGTCAATTCCTTGTGAAGACCATGGTGTTAACGCGTGGCTCTGTGGTCCTAGAGAGAGATATGACAGTTATACAATTGATGTAGCCTCAAGACAGTGGTGATATTTTCAGATATTACATCTCACATGTGGGCTGTAAATTGGCTGTACATAGCGTGGCAATTGTGGTGAGTTGGCAGGGGTAAAGAAGACTTTTCACTCAAGTGATGTCAGAATTTTCCTCTCCTCAGTGATTGGAGGATCCTCATCTGTGCTTATCAAAATAGGGCTGCATCAGCATTTCAAAAAGGTGGTATATATATGATGTTATACTCAGCTGCACAATGCAAGCCCTGTGTGCCTCAAAAGAGCAATACTTGAGTGTCCTAACAATGTGTGCTGAGAAAAGGAATTCAAGAAACCAAAATAGTTAATGATTTCTGAGAGACTCTTTGACAATTTAAGCTTTATATGATCCTAGAAATCCACATGGAAAAGGGTACTAATATACTGAAGATCATGAAGATCTTTTGCTGCTGTATTTCTGGTGTAAAGAGGTGGTTCTAAGGTGCACTACAGTTCTGAGGTCAAGTCAGAGGTTTCCAAGGGATGAGGCAAGGTTATTTCACTATTTTACAACTGCAGAAATTAATAAGTTTTTATACATATCTTTGCTGTGGTTGATTTTGAGGTCTCACACTCTTGAGTTGAGCTATTTTCTGGTTTAAGCCACTGTTAAGAGTTAACTATACCTAAATCATACTGTGAATAGCTTGTTCAACATCTAAGTATGTTTCAATTGATGATTAAACGTTGTTCAAGTTGAAATTAGGACCATGTAGTGGCTGCATCGATTTCTGGGCTTGTAAACCTCACAATTTTACGGTTTTCAGCTGATAAATGTAACCTGTGAACTGAAATTGATATATATTGCTAGCACTACTATGATAACTATCTGAGCATGTTAACATATATGATAGCCATGATTTATGGAATGACTTACCATATTAGCAGAGATTTGATTATGCTATAGAATATGCTTTAGAATATACTGTGATTTGATTTAAAATTGATTTTGTTTCCTTTCTTGTAATATGAGCATATGCTCTTTTTATCTATAAATACTAGAGCTGTGAATGAGTGATTCATCTCATTCAAGCCTTCACACAATTCTCTCATTTTTCTTCTATATTGTATTTCTACTAGGTATTAGAGTAAGCACCTTTTCACACCTTTCAGCAACCTTGCTACTTGTGTGACTGCCACCTTAGGCTGTTTGTGACATCGTGTGACGTTGCCTACACATGCTTTTCTGTGTTGCTGTTTTGTGATCGAAAACAAGTATTTTAAGTTTTACAATTATTTTTTACTTTTCTAGGTTTGGGTAAATTGGGATAGTTGGTCTCCAACACCTGGAAGAGCTTGGGTAAAAAAAAATTTAGTCTACAGACAGGTTTCGGATATTAAGAAGCAGGTTGTCTGGCTATATGTAAGCGGGCAGCGCTCCTTAAAAAAAGTATGTATTTCGATTTTTCGGGAATGGTCTGAGAAGATATTGTTATTGTTTATGGTCTGAGGAGACCCTTTGATTTATTAAGAATTTATGGTGCTTTTGAAGTTTTTTATTGTCATGTGACAGATTATGGCAGATTCAGAGCCCTTGGCTGTTAATTCTCTTGGCTCAAGGTCTGTGGTTGGTGGTGCCATTTTTCCCATCAACTCATCAGAAAATCTAGGACTTCAAATCACCACATTGAAGTTGGATGGCTCCAACTATTTAATTTGGGCAGAGTCTGTCAAGATGTTCATTGGTAGCAAAGGCAAGATTGGCTATATTACTAGTTATGAGAAAGAGCCAGCTGAGTTAGAAAAGGCATATCCACAGCGGTTTGCAGATAACACTATGGTTATGTCTTGGCTAGTCAATTCGATGCAACCAAACATAGCCGTTGGCTATATGTTTATGAAGACTGCTATGGAAATTTGGGATTCAATTCAACGCGCTTATTCTCAGAGGCAGAATAATACACGGATTTTCCAATTGGGGCGAGATATCACCAGGATTTCTCAAGGTGGCTTGACAGTTTTAGGTAACATCGCCAAGCTTCATGCTATTTGGGAGGAGATGTCATATTATGATTCCTTCCACTCTTAGAAGGATCCAGATGATGCAGTTTTATATGCAGGGATTGTGGAGAAAAATTGAGTGTTTCAGTTTCTTGTCGGGTTGAACGACGAGTTTGAGTATGCTTGTGTTCATTTATTGGGCTTATCTTCATTCCCTACTCTTGAGGATGCATACTCCTATGTGTTGTCAGATGAGAGCCGTCGGACTCATCCATTAAATGTTGCTTCTGTTGATCATTCTGCTATGGCAATTCGGGTTTCCAATCTTTCAGGAACAGCACCATCCCAGTCAGTTCAGAGCTCTACTACCGGTCCTCCTTTGGGATGAAAATGTGGACAGTATGACCATTGTGGAAAAATTTGTCACATCAAATCTCGTTGTTAAGCTCTACATAGGCGCCTACTGCAACAAAAACAATAACCTCGATCCTCTGCACATTCTGTCACACAACTAGTCTCGCTGTCAACTCCTCACAACTCTGCCTCTACATCTGCTGCCACAATTACCTTGACTGAAACTGATTTGAACAAGTTCAAACAATTCTTCAACCAAATGGAGGCATCATCTCAGCCAACCTCCACTTATGCCCACTCAAGTACTATTGCGTCTACACATAGCGTATCTACATCTTCGACACCATGGATCATTGATTCTGGTGCTTGACTGGTATGTCCTCATTCTTCCAATCTTATAATATCTGCTCTAGCCATCGCAAGATACACCTTGCGGATGGCTCTCCATCTTTCATTGGTGAAGAGTACATTGTCCAATCTTCCAACTTATTTTCTTACGCTTTTCCAAATCCCCTCCTCTATTGTTGGAAGACTTGAGATGCTTCAATGAAACTTCCTCTGGGGCGGACGGGGGGAGGAATTTATATTTCATCTTATCCGGTGGGAGCGAGTATGCAAGCCCTTTAAGTTGGGCGGTCTTGGGATTAGGAGATATGCCCCTTTCAACAGAGCGCTCCTAGGCAAGTGGTTATGGAGATTCGGCAGTGAAAGACATAAGTTATGGAGGAAAGTTGTTTCATGTCGTTTGGAGGAGAGAGAGGGGGATGGTCGTCTAGGCTGGTTAGATCTGCTGTCGGCGTGGGGGTGTGGAAATCCATTGGGAAGGATTGAGATGAATTCTCTAAGCATATTAGATTCAGAGTTCATGAAGGAAGGGACGTCTAGTTTTAGGAGGATACTTGGTGCGAGGATCGCCCATTGTCTTATTTATTCCTAAGGTTGTTCAAGATTGCTATTGATAGACATGCTTTGGTAGCTGGCTGTTATCGACTCGATAGCGGTAGGTTGTCTTGGGATGTGCGATTTCAGCGATCCTTTCAGGATTGGAGTTGGATGACGTCACTAGTTTACTGGACCTTTTGTATAGATAGGAGGTGGATGGTACTAATTCAGATTCTTTGAATTGGGTACCTTCTTTGCAGGGGACTTTTCAGGTCCGGTCCTTCTTTCTCTGCCTCTCCGGGTTTCACGGTTCTAATTTCCAGTGGAAAACGGTTTAGCATTCGAAGGCTTCTCTTAGGGTGGCCTTTTTTGTTTGGACTACAGCTTGGGGTGGGATCGTGACTCTGGACAATTTGAGAAAGAGAAGACAAATCATAGTCAACTAGTCTGTGAAAGAATGATGGAGAGAGTTTGTGGATCACCTTCTTTTGCATTGCCCTGTGGCTCATGACTGCTGGAGTCTTATTTTAGGTCTTTTTGGCGTCCAATGGGTTATGCCCCGAACCTCAAGGGATTTGATTGACATTTGGAGGGCCAAAGGGTGGGGGCTCATGCTCGCGATTTTTGGAGGGTGACCCCCCTTTGCGTTTGGTGGAGCCTTTGGAAAGAGCGGAATAGAAGATTTTTTTATGGGGAGGAATTCTCCATTGGGGCATTGAAGTTTTCTATCATTTCTTCTCTTTTTAGTTGGGTTATGGGAAGAAATTGTATATCTTTAGATGAAATCGTGGACTTTTTGGGTTCTTTGGGTCTATAGGACTCCCCCTCTCTTTTTTCGGTTTTTGTACAGCTCTTGGGACGCATTCCCCTTTTGAATGCCTTCTAATACATTTTTACTTATCCAAAAAAAAAAAAAAAAAAAAAACTATGAAAGCACTTCATTTTCCGGTCACCTTCCTTTAACCACAAAGCCCTCGATTTTTTACTCCAAGAGATCTACACCAAAATAGCAATCTTACTAATCTCCAGCTTACCTCTTCGCCTCTGCTAAACCCTTGAATTTCAAAATTGTTGATTTTAGAAATCAATAAACATTGATGTTAAATTAATCAAGATTTGCAGAAAATGTTGTTGAATTCCAATAAGACTCGATCAAAAGCTCGACCAATCGAAGCAGTGGCAATGGTGCTTGATTGAAGTGTCGATCGATCAAACGCTACATGGAAACTGATGGAGAACGGGGCATGGCCTGAGGGCTTGAAGTACATATGACCCAGATGTCAGAAAGAGAGAGAGAATTAGGGATTTTTATCCATTCATTATTATTATTTTCATAATGTTTTCATTTTAGGATATTTTAGTCATTTAATAGTTTCGGGTTTCATTTTTGGTAGTAGAATTCTAATAGGGTTTTTCCTTGACGCTTATAGTATGAATATAATATAGAAGAAAGAAAAGAGAAATATGTAAAAGGTTTGAATAAGATGTATAAACACTCATTCACAATTCTCATATTTATATACTAAAAAGAGTACATGTTAATATTACAATAAAGGAAACTGAATAAAATCATTGCATATTCTATGCCTGGACATATGCGTAAATAAAGTCAAATCCATAATTTGTGGCTATCATTCCATGATTTATGCCTATTATATCTCAGCTAACACTTCCATATATGTGGTTTGATACTTTGAGAAATCACCTTTTGAAGATTATTGAATATTGAATCGAGTGATTATATATATTTCTTCCCCTCATTCTTCTTCTCCTCCCTCATTCTTCTTCTCTCTCATTCTCCATTAATTTTGATACCGAAGCACCCCTACCCATCCTACATCAGAAACTCTCTCAAATCAAAATTCTAAAAGAATTTCACTTTCCATACTACATAGATATCATATATTGGCTATAAATACGGAGTTTTAGTCCATGTAGGTTCTCTCTCACAAAAACTTTGAACTTCTTACATATTGTCACGACAAATGCAGCAAACCAAGAACAAAACAGGAATCATAACGTAAAAGTAAACACGCCACACACAAAGAACACAAATATTTATGTGGTTCGCCCAAAATCTGAGCTATGCCCATGATGAAGATCCAACGAAAGATTTCACAATGCGAAAAATAGAAGATTACAAGTTTCAATTCCTAAACCCTAGCTCTTGTTCTCACTCTCTTTCATGCAATTTTCAGTGTTCTTTCATTACACACTCCAAACTCTAAACACCCTTATATACTGACTACGAGAGAGTTCTCAACAAGATCCACAACCCGCAAGCGAAAAATGGGTTGGACCCACACAAAGCTCATTTTTTGGGTCAAATTTGAGTCGCAACGCTACCCGACCCAGAACAAAATTCGAGCCCCAACATCACACATATTATTGAGAAATTTATATTTTTAGAGAGAGCACTAGTATTAATCTAGGTTTCTATCGAGTACCATACTATATGAGATTGACGGAATCAAAGCAAGAAGCTGTATTAATATTATCCATAGAGCATCAACCAGATGGTTTATAAAGAACAAGTTTAACTGACATCAGTAGTCATGAAGATTTGAAGTCCACCGAGTAGCAAATTGTTTAAGATAGAGTGTGTCAGTGGATCAGCTGGAAGAATTTTGGGAGATCTTGCATAAATCTAAGCCAAGAGGGAGTCTTGAGTTGCAGCGCTAAGCTTCGCTTCCCTTATAAAGAGGCTGATAACTTAGTCTGTAATTTTTTTTTCTATTTTTCATTGGCAAGAAACACAAACCCACTTTGGCCCTTTGGGGACTCGAACGCTCACCATCCGCTCTGGGAAGTAGAAGAGATACCACTAGACCACAAGGCCCTTGGTAGTTTGTAACATATTTCTCATATAGGATAGGATTTTGATCTGCCTGGACTAGGCCCCACGGTTTTCATTTTCTAGGATTTTCACGTTAAAAATATTGTGTCTTTGCTTTATTTTATTTATTACTTTACGTATTTATATGATTGCCATTGAATCATGACTCAGATTAATTAACTAAACTTTAAACAAGATTAATGGCAATTAAAAAACTTAGTTGCAATTTATTATTATGAAGAACTATTTATCCATAGGGCTGCAAATGAACCGAGCCGTTCATGAACAGCTCAAGCTCGGCTCGTTAAAAGCTCAGCTCAAGCTCGTTCGTTTAGTAAACGAGTCGAGCTCTCAATTTTCAGGCTAGTGAACTCGTGAACATGCTCGTTTACATATATATATATTATATTTTTAAAGTAGCCCATATATATAAATCTAGACCAAATTCATATATATTTTTATTGACCCAATTAGTATTTGGGCATTTAGAAGCCCATTTAATTAAGTAGCCCACTCACTAAATTCATCTCAGCCATTAAGTAGCCCATTTAAATCTAAATTCATCTCAGCAATTGGATTCACCTTATTATATCTTAAGGGTAGATAAAAATAAAAAACCCTAAGAAACAGCCACAACATGTTGCAACCAGCTTCTCCAATCCCAGTGGCATATCACAACGGAAATCCACCGTCCTTCTACTTCTCAGGTTACTGTCTTGTGCTCCTAAGCGACATCAAGTTAGGTTTATCTCTCTCCCTCTCCCTCTCCCTCTCCCTCTGTCTCTCTCTCTCCCCTCCCCCCTTCTCTCTAGCTTGATAATATTGTTGATAGATCTGATAAATCGGTGAAGTTGGTGAAGGAGACTGAAGAATAGAGAAGAGTGTTTAAGATGTGAATTGATGGTGGTGTTTTTCCAGTTCCCCGATTTGATAGATAGTATATACATATATGTATATATATTATATATACACATCCACATACAAGCCCAAGCCAAGCCGAGCTCGAGCTCGTCAAAAAATTACAGCCAAGCTCGGCCGAGCCCGAGCAGCTCTCTGACTTAGACGAGCCGAGCCCGACTAGCCTAAAGCTCAGCTTCGCTCAGCTCAGCTCGGCTCATTTGCAGCCCTATTAATCCCCTCTAGGTCTAATTAACCGCACGCACTCCAACACAATTACCTATTTATCCCCTCTAGGTCTAATTAACCGCACAAACGCACTCCGACACAATCACCTATTTATCCCCTCTAGGTCTAATTAATCGACTCTCTCCGACCAAGACTCCTTGGTTAATTGTCCCTGTTACTTCTTATAGTTATCCAGCTAAATTAGATTCAAAAACTCCCACTTTACCTTATGAGTCAGTAACTCCATGTATCCCCAAGTCGAGATTACAGTAAACACCAAGAAGTATCCATTTTTAACTCAAAAAAGCCACCGGCTTTTAGAGAATCTTTCCTCTTCAATTTATGCACAATTTACTGGGGCTTTACCGGTGGGTGCCCCCAGTTCAACTAGTATTTTCCTTATGACTCCGATTGTGGTCTACCAAAGATTAGATTGATTCTCCTCCTCCTACTCAGCCAACTTGGTCTGCCAGATGTTGACCATTTTCTACTCGCTGGTTGATGAAAACCCTTTGATCATAAACCCTATCTCCATCGCTTATCAGCAGTTTCTTTTCTTCCAAATGTACAAATAAGACAAAGCAACGCTACTTCTTAAACAATCAAACCACCTAACTTTTCCTACCTACTTTACCACCACATCAACTGTCCAACTCCCTCATTAGGTTGGGAAACACCCATAAGACTCAAAAGTGAAATAACAAATAGACCCAAAGGTTCCCCTGCAATCCTTCAATGAAGTGTAAATAAGGAGAACCTGGCCTCCTAGATTTAAGTTGTCAATCAATAATATTTTCCCAAAGTTGGTCAAGAAATGAAAAACACCACCATGGGGCCTGGAGAGGGATGCACTAGTACCCCAAATAGCTCTCCAGAATATCAAAGAAACCAAGCTACACCTTGTAATAAGATTGCTCTTTGAAGCCCCTCAATAACTTTTCAATCCTCACCACCTAGGATACCTTCACTACAAAATAACTTAAAAGTTAAGGATGCAGAAGCATAATTTTGTGAGGGGCACAAGGAAAATCTGTGATAGATCAATGAAGTAAAATTTTGGAAGAAACATTACTTTGCAGTCGTGCAGATATATCATGAAGCCAGTGTCATGAATACTGAAGCTCGTTACATGACCATAATCTATCATTTAACACAAATCAACTAGATCACAGCAAGCAGAATTCGAATGATACACCCTGGTTGCAACCTAAAATGCTTCAATACCAAATCTGAAGTAGTTAGTGCATAAAACAGTCTAACGAAAGCACTGTGTTTCTGACTACCATACAGAGTTCAAGGAGTCATATCATAAAAAATAATAAATAAATAAATAAAATAAAATACATGAAAATAAAAATAAAAAAACAAACAAACAAACTTATTAAGTGAACATTTGCAAGGAAATAAAGTACTCCATAGAAAAGACAATGATGTTATTAGAAGCATCACTGACCTGTACCAGCAGCAGTGATGGCCTGTCTATACTTCTTATCCTGAACATCCCCGGCGGCAAACACACCATGTACGCTTGTCAGCGTAGTTCCTGGCTTCGTCACAACATAACCATCGGAGTCGAGTTCCAGCTGCCCGTCCAAGAATTTTGTAGCCGGTTCATGGCCTATTGCAAAGAACAAGCCAGAGACCTTCAAATCCGAAACCTCTCCGCTCTCCATATTCTTCACCTTCAAACCCCCTAAAACCCGTTTTTGATCCTCCGCGTAGGCTTCCACAACCGCCGAATTCCACAAAACCTGGATCTTAGGGTTATTCATGGCTCGGCTCTGCATGATCTTGGAAGCTCTGAACGTATCCCTCCGGTGAATGATGTAAACCTGGGAGCCGTACTTGGTCAAAAAGTTGGCCTCTTCCATTGCAGAATCTCCGCCGCCAATCACCGCCAGCGGCTTGTTACGGAAGATCGGGGCAGCACCGTCGCAGACTGCACAGGCGGAGATACCCTTATTCCAGAAACCAACATCTCCGTCGCCGGAGCCACAGAATTTGAGACGCTTAGCGACGGCGCCTGTGGCAACTATGACGGAATCGGCGATGACGGTTGTGGCATCGGAGAAGATCTTGAAAGGGTGAGTTGAGAAATCGACCTTGGTGACGGTATCAGTGAAGATTCGGGTGCCGAATCGAAGGGACTGGTTGCGGCAGTTGTCCATGAGCTCGAGGCCAAGTATACCCTGGGGAAAGCCAGGGAAGTTCTCGACGTCGGAAGTGGTGGTAAGCTGACCGCCGGGAGCGATGTCGTTGGCCATCCATCCTTCGAAGAGAATGGGCTGCAGCTCCGCTCGTGCCGCGTATATGGCCGCTGTGTGAGCCGCCGGACCGCTTCCTATTATGCATACGCGAGTTTTTAGGACTTGGTGTTCTTCCATAGTCTAGCGAGAAGATGAAGATGGAGAGAAATTTTGTAGAAGCAGCGAGCGAGCCTGAGCCTGAGCCTGAGCCTGAGAGGGTGAGTTTATACCTGCAAGTTCTCAACGCCTTCAAATGACAAAGCAATTAGATAAAAGTATGCATGGACAAATTACACGACCATTGAACATGGAAAATCAATAATATTTTTATATTATAATAATATATTATTTTACATTATACTACGTATTACATTTTGCATTATTATTTTATAGGGTACAGTGAAAAAAAAACAAAAAAAACTTCTAAACTATGTCTAAATTAGTAAATAATTTCTTGTAAAGTACATTCTCATATTAAATGTCTCTTTTAGGGAGTAGAACTTTTTAGGAGGACATGTATTTATTGTATTGTTCTCGTTTAAAATTACAAAGTTACCTTTTCAAGTTTAAATATGTATATAATCAAATTTGAAATTTTTTATAATTTTAAGGGTATTTTATGGAAAGATGTGAAATATGTTGTTTAAACTTGGTAAGTAGACAAGTATTTTGGGACATTCCAAAAAGAAAAATGGACAACTAAATTGAGACGGAGAGAGTGTTTATTATGCATAAAACTTCTAAATTATCACATTACTTGAAAAATGTCCTATTATAGTACCATTTCTTATTAAATTACACTTGATCTATTTTTCTTGTTGAAATAAATTATGAAAAAAATTATACTAATTTGATGAAATATTCTTTATTAAATTTGTATAAGTTTGCCTTTAATTTTTAAAATAAAAATCTTAAGTAGAAAATTTTTAAACAATTTAAGTAATTTCTTAATTTTCATGAATATATTGTATAAAAAGAAGATGTTTTTTTATTTTTGTAATTTATTAATTTTTCATGAATATTGTATGAAAAAGAAGGCATTTTTTACACTAAATTTTTTAAAGTGAGTATAATAAATTTTATTATAATAAGTAAATCATTTTAGAAAATGGTAGATACAAATCTATTTTTTCATTGTTATGATAAATTGATATTAATTATAAAATTAAGATAAATGGTATAATTAAATATTTAAATAAGAGAAAATATAATAAAAATAATTTAATAATAAATGAAAATTTTAATATAAAAGGATAAAATAGTCTTTTGTGATTGATTTATCCTTAATTGCAACAAATCAAGGATTTTTTGCAAAAAGGAAATAGTTGAAGGTCACTTAACCCTATTCTATAAAATTTAGTCAACAAAAGTCCGAAAAAATATATATTGTATTTCGCTAGGCTTGATTTGAAAAAGGCAAAGCATAAACTACGTTACCGGAGATTAAAAAAAAAAATTTTAAAAAGAAAAAGATATTTGTGCTTTTTAAATGTATAGATAGTATCGAGAGAGAAAATGATATTAAATAAGTTGGATTTGATTTTTTAAACAAAAACACTCTTTATTTTTTCGTTGGATATCATAAAATCATTTAATTTTGCAAATTAAATTAATGGTATTTGCACTCCACTAATTGAAACCCAATGAAAACACTCTTTATTACTTTTGCTGGCTATCATAAAATCATTTAATTTGCAAAATTAATGACATTTGCACTCCACTAATTGTAACGAATAACTTATGCAGTTATGTCTCACGGAAGGCCATAGATATTAGTAGATTGCAGCTTAAAATAGAAAATTCAGGTTCAAGTCTCCTTAAAATTAAGTGAATGTGAGTGAATTTTTTGTCGAAGTAAAAAATAATACCCGTAATAATAACAAAATATTGTGATTTTTTCTTTTTTCATTTTTGTTACTAAGAGCTAATAGTTCGGATTTTTGCATTACATCCTTCAAAAATAAACAGTTTCACTTGACAAATAGATCCAATTAGTCAATGTCATGTTCCCCACAATAGTTTCACTGACAAATTAGTTAGGCCTGAATATTATTTTTCAAAATAAAATAAAACTCAAGCATAAAGCAGGTATGTGTCATTACCATCTTTAGCTTGAAAAAAAAAAAAACAAAAACAAAACAAAAATTCATCTTTAGCCGATTTAGTTGACCGCAGTAAATGAGGAATTATTGGCACACAAAGCATGCAGCCTGATGTACAAGAAATGTAACCTGTGGATGGTCAACAAAGATCCCATCCAAAACACAGGCTTGAACAATCCAGTCAGTCAACCTTCGCCCTGGTCAAAGGCATTTCCGAGATTCAGACCCAAATTGGATTTGTCAAGCACATTTCGAGCATCACCAACTTTAAGCATGTGGGTGTTTCAGTTACAACAGAATCAAACATCATATGTTTTTTTTTACACCCTGACTGCATAAAGAGTTACTATTTTCTTTTTCTTTTTTTGCCTAAAAAGAAGGGAAAAAAAGAAAAGAAGAAATAGTTCCAATATCCCCTTCTAGTCATCATTTAACCCCTATACAATGAAATTGGAAAGAAATACAGAAGACTAACATTCCTGCTGCAATTCACATTCACTCTTTCAAGCTAAGCCTTGCGTTCTGAACTTTCACCGATAACTTCAACTTCTGGTCCTCCATATCTTTCAAAACTGCTAGCAAATTTGCACGGTATACTTCACATCGCTGATTTGTGCTGTCCAACTCAGTAGTCAAATCACGAATTTTCTTTTCCTTCTCATCCTGCCAATAAATAAATTAAATGCACCATCAATGATCATAGTAGAACTACAGGCACTATCATATCCACATGAATATCATATCCATATTCTACTGCACACATCTATTTATATCATCAGTTCATTGTCCATTCTATTTTTAAAGGAATGGCTTTCCTCTTACAGAGAAAAAAGTTGACATGATGAAATGATACAATCAAAATCTTCCATACAAGGAAAATCAATACTCTCTCCTCTCCCCTAAATATAAACATAAGGGCGTGCACAATGCTCCCATCATTGCAGGTCAGGAGGATCAGATGAACACAGCCTTACCTCCACAGGTGAAGAGTATTTCCCGTTTCGAACCCGTCACAATGGAGCAGCCTTACCGTTGTACCAAGGTCCACCCTCTCTCTAAATATAAAGATGACTTCCAAATTTCAGGATTTGATTCTATAATCTAGTTTAATTACAGCAAAAGCAAAAGCAAAGAAGAAACAACTCTATCAGAATTAAGAAAACTACAATGCTCAAGGAAGTCTTGTTAACACAGCTTATTACAGCATTGAGTGTCAAATAACTATTAAAAGCAAATTTATTTCATGCTGAGTTTTTGTTTAGTTTGCTTTCTTAATTAGTTGTAACAAAAGTATTTGGTAAAAAGCTTGTTATTACATAAGTACTCTTATTAAAAACACAACTACCATTCTAGCTTAGGTGCTCAAATCAAAATAAATCTTTCTACGCGACCAAGCAACAAGTTTCGAAAATTGTGGATGTTTTCATCCCCAAATTCTTTCTTTTTCCTATTCCATTCTTTTTACATGAAACAAGTTTAAATCTGCATGGCTGGAAGGATGGTCATTGTTAAAATCCACATACGGACACATAATCAGTAACTTCTTGATACATGCAACCAGATTAAACAACATGTGGCAACCCGTTTGAAACCCCAAACCGAGGAAATGTGTCGACCGCAGTTTATGACAAACAAGATGTTAATCTGAGAGGAGCCATGACATTGAGAGACCTATAGGCAAAAAGAATATCACATTTATAGGGGACCAGCTAACGTAAATGTTGGAAAGCATCACCAAAACTATCAGAGGAAACAAAGGTGAAGATGTAAAGCGTGGCCAAAAACATCATAAAGAAGATGACTGAGGGAAGCCTGTCAAATATGAAAAACTCTGATCTCTTCGTCACCCAAGTAAAATCCACTTGTCTGGGTCCAGCCTCCAAGATAGTACCAGAGAGCTATATGAGCTCACTGCATGGTCACAATGTGATATTACTCTGCATCATAGTATTGCAGTCTAGGCAGTAACCAACTGCTCATTGAACTTAGTCTACTTGGTCCACTCAATTGGGCTAGCCTCTCCCTCGGATTCCATTCTTACTTGCACTATCATTTAAGCACTTTACACCTTGTGAGGACTATAACTTAATGTTGACAAGTTTCGTAACGAAAGACGAAGCCTGTAATTTTTGTATTTTTTCAAAAATCAACTTAGCTTAGTTTGTTTGTTAGTGGTTATTGAAGATTTAATGGAGGAATCAAAGGAGGAAATCCTCCAGTAATTAATGTAGTTTCCTATTATTGAAGATTTGCTATTAATAGAGGAATCAGTGGAGAAAAATCTTTCTCGTTTCCTTTTTTCTCTCTTTCCATTCTCATTATTTCTTCTCCTATATAGAGGAGCTTCCACCATCGTATTGTGTATGAATTGAGAGAGTATTATAAAAGTGAAGTAGCCCTTTGGGCTCTTTGTGCGGTGGATGTAGGCCCTAGTAGCTGAACCACGTAATATCGGTGTGTTCTTGTTTCATTTCTCTCTTCACTTCTATTTTATTATTTACAACATGGTATCAGAGCCTAATTTCTCTTCCTAAGTTCTGAACCATATCTTGGGGTATTCCCTTAGCATCTGAAATGTTGCAAAGGGTTTCTCGGTGCTATTTGTGACTTGTTTGGGCTGTCGGGGTATTCGGTAGCATTGTCTTTGCCCTTGCCATGTCTCTTGCAGTTTTTATTGAGTTGTTTGGACTGCCGGTGTGTCCGGTAGAATTGTTTTTCGCCTTTACCGTGTCTCCAGCAATTTTTGTTGACTTGTTTGGGTTGCCGGTGTGTTCGGTAGTATAGTTCTTCGTCTTCTCTCCTCTCTTCATCATTCGCATTTGCTGCTACTAGTCATTTCAATGGCAAGTTCGGCATGCTTTAACTTGAGGGCGAGTATTGAAGATTTAATGGAAGAATCAGCAAAGGAAAATCCCCTAGTAATTGATGTAGTTTCCTATTATTGAAGATTTACTGTTAACAGAGGAATCAGTGGAAAAAAATATTTCTCGTTTCCTTTTTTCTCTCTTTCCATTCTCATCATTTCTTCTCTTATATAGAGGAGCCTCCACCATTGTATTGTGAATGAGTTGAGAGAGTATTATAAAAGTGATGTAGCCCTTTGGGCTCTTTGTGCCGTGGATGTAGTCTCTAGTGATTGAACCACACAATATCAATGTGTTCTTCTTATTTCATTTCTCTTCACTTCTATTTTATTATT